AAGGGCCTAAAATCTGAGATCATTACAGCCTTGAAATGTGATATTCTATATTTAAGAGGCTGAAGCATAAGATTTAGAGGATAAGTCTGGCATAAGACTGGGACAGAACTGAAATGCCTAGAGATAGTATTTACATCTGAGAAAACACAGTGTACAAGTGAAGGAAGCAAACAAAATCTCTCAAGTTTTATTCAACAGAAGTCTCAAAAATTACATACATAATTGATTGAAATGCCTCTCTGCCACAGAAAATAAGAGGAATGGGATTGGGAAAGTTTAATCAATTGAACATGAAAAGCAGAAAGCATTTGCTTATGGATTTAGTAATTGTAATAGTACTTTTTTGCTCCAACCACTAAATGATTTTATTACCCTATGTGACAGTAGTTTGACCTTGACTGAGAAACATACCTGATGATGGTATGATATTGTCTTCCTGGCATCTTTTTTCATGTTTATTGGAAAAACAGAGGCTCTTAATCTATCAGTGATTTTGAACATGGGCTTTTGAAAGATTGTCTACATCAAGGTCCTGGCTTTACTACTGCCTGTGTGATTTCACCCAACATGCTTACACTCTCTTCACCCCAGTTTTATTATCTGTAAAAGGCAGGAGTAAGAATATAATAGTTTGATATTATGCAATAGTAGTAGTACACCTAACCCACAGAGCTACAAGGACTCAGTTAATACAGCTGAATTGTGATTTACATGGTGCTAAATAACTGCTACAGGCTCTGACTTTTGGAAGCTGGGCAAAGGAAACACTAATCAAAAACAATAGAGGGCTGAGGATTTAGCTCAGTGGTTCTGGCCCCTGCCTTGTAAGCACAAGGTCCTGAGTTCAATCCCCGGTACCAACCCCCCCCCCAAACAATAGAAATAACTAAGAAAGCAGTTATGTTAATCAAGCATTGGCCTCTGTAAGAGTGGTAGGAGCGGGTATCCTGTGTAACTGAAACTGCCCTTGTCTTACAGAAAACTGGAAATGAAACCCTCGAAAACTTGTAATCTTACTACAACTTTAAAGAGCTCTCCTTCAGCATATTACATATTTTATTCTGCCTGGGTCCTGGTTTTCTCTATCCTAATTTATACTGGCCCTGTTGCTTTGGACAGCAAAGAACACAACAGCAAAGAAATATGACAGAGGTACACAAGGCCACAGATGCCAGCAAGGTCTTGGAAGTCACAGCTGCCTCATCATCATTTTCAGATGTGTGGTTTCTGCTGTTGTTCCCCTTGGTTTTGTTCAGTAATTGTTTGCTACTGTTAAATTGGAGTGGAACCCACATGTGAGGAACTTTTGTGTCTATGGGCACAAAGAAAGGAGAAATAGTCTTGTTATATGGACTGTTGATGAAGTTAGCACTTGGTGACACCATATTTGCCTTGGTGATAATGGAGTCATTCAGGGAAATGAATCTTGCCCCCAAATCTGTGTTTAATTCCTTGAGATAACTGGTATTGTTTGTGTTTACAACTGAATCTTCAGGTGTAGTTGATAACAGAGCCTCTGTTGAGGGCAGCACGTGGTTTATTTTGGTAGCTTGTTGTATATCATATACATTCATAGCTTTTAGAATCTTTAGTTTGTCCCACTTATCAGAATGGGTATTTAGCTATGTAGGAGGTGATTGCCCCAAAACCAGCAAATCTGGATCTATACCTGAAAGACAAATAAGATAGCATTCATTTTATTTTTAATTTCAAAAGGAAAACCTGAGGCACAGTTTGGAGAAATATTGAGTTTTGCCACTATGAGTTATTGAACTAAATTCAAGTTCTACCACTGCAAACTTCTGAAAGTCTTAGAAACGTACTGGAAACTAAAGAAAGGAAGAAGAAAGAGAATGAAAGAAAAAGAAAGAAAAAAGAAAGAAAGAAGAAGAAAGAAAGAGGAAAGAGAAAGAAAGAGAGAAAGAAAGAAAGAGAAAGAAAGAAAAGAAAGAAAGAGAAAGATTGGCTACATCTGAATTTATCTTAGCCTCCTAGGATGCTTTCTGCTGTAAACAAATGTGACTCCTTCCAAGGAGAAGACTGTGAGTATACCAGGGCTTCTGCACAATCGTCTTGAATGTCAGAGTGAAAGCTGTACGAGCAGTCACCATGTGAGATACAATACAACTTTAAAACAAAGTTGAGTAAGTGAGCCTGAAAAGGGAAACTATTTCTGTCTTTAGCAAAGCCTTAAAACTCATCCTTTTCCAATCCCTGTGGGTCCTGCTTTGTTTTAGTATTTTTATCACTTTTTCATCTCATTTTGTTTTGAGACAAAGTCTCACTGATTGGCCTCCAACTCAAAATCCGTCTGGCTCAGCTCTCAAGTTTGGTATTTTCTATCTTCTTGTATGCTAAGCATTTTCCTCAGACTTCAGACAAGCCACAGAACTAGTTTGTCCTGAGGGAAGAAAAGCTCTGAATAGCTTTCCAGTGACCCCTGCTAGCAAAATGTCAGTCAGTCTTTCTCTCTCTGGGAAAGCATGCCAACATCCATTTCCTTCCTATCTTTGTTTGCCTCTGTAATCTTGTACTTGCTTTTGCACTGAGACATTATCACACATTTTTGTATTTATATGTTTTACACTAATTATAAGACTTGTCACATCAATGAGATTATAAGGAACATAAGGGCAGAGATGTGGCTGCAATCTTCCACAGTGTTGAGTCCAGCCTGGAACATTCAGTATTCAGTGAATATAAATCAGTAAAGAAATTTATCTCCTTTATATTTGATGGCAAGTCTTTCTTTTTTTGAAGTACCAGGGATCAAACTCAAGACCTCATCCTTGCCAGGCAGGCTCGATGGACAAGTCTATTTTTTATTGTCACAAATGTGCATTCTGAGATTATGTACATGAGCAAAAACCACTTAAACATGTTTTTTTTTCTAGAATAAAATACACTGGTTATCTTGGGACCAGTAAGATGCTGATATATATCTATATAGCTATACATCTATACATCTATACATCTATATATCTATATATCTATATCTATATCTATATCTATCTATCTCCAGAGTAAGTTTGCTGGTCTTTAATTTCCATCTTTGAAGAACCTGTGTATGCCAAGTGCACAGATCTCAAAATTACCACTTAACATTTTTTTAAATTTTGTGGTGATAACCTGGGCCACTGAAGTAGAAATGCCTATGTTGGCTTTTGCTGAGTGCTCATGAAATACGTAGAATTCAGTGCTTAAACTCTTATTCAGTTGCATCTAATTCCTGTCATCTGGAATGAACTCATCACTGCTGAATGTGCCACACTAAAGGGAATTTCCTTTCACTTTTCTGCCCTGGATGACCAAACCATTTCCCGACAGAGGTCACTGAAGGAGCTCTGAGGGACACACAGAACTATTGCCAGACAGTTTCTAGGCTATATTCCTCTACTAGAGTACTGTCAAAACTCCTTGGAAGCCCTGGAATACATCATCTTACCGTCTGTTATGTTGTATAAAATGGCACTGGTTCCAGGCTCCAGTATGCAGCTCTCTAGTGTTGGGCAGTGGATGTGGAGGCAGTTGACATTGTTGTGAATAGGGTCATGAAAAAAGACAGCCAAGTTACAAGACACTGGAAAGGAAAGAGGCAAAGAACACTTGCAGGTGATCTTGAGTTCCACCAGTCTGACAAGCACTGAGCAACCTACATTTCTTTTTTGTGTATGTGTGGTACCTGGGATCGAACTCAGGACCTTGTGCTTGCGAGGCAGGTGGTAATGCCACTGAGCTAAACCCCCAGCCCAACCAACATTTCTTTCAGGAACACTGGATTTACACTATCTTGCAAGAATATATGTAGACATTTTATAAAGCATTATAATAACAATATTTTTAAAATCACATTTATTTATTTAATAGCGCCAAAAGTTTATTTGAAAAGTGCAGGGTAAATGAGTATGGGAGAAACCAGCTCTGCAGGGCAAACGAGTCAAAGAGAAAAGAGGGTAAAAGCAAAAGTGAAAGTACACACAAAGTTTTAGGAATACATTGCAGGCTACCCCCGTGCAAACTCTTGCACAATAGCCAAACATCACCTTTTTAAATAAAAAGCCTCTGCTGGGAGCTGTCCCATGCCATAATCCCAGCACTCAAGAGGCTGATCCAGGAGGATCGTAAATTTGAGGCCAGCCTAAGGAATTTAATAAGACCCTATCTCAAAGTTTTAAAAGGCCTGGGGATGTAGCTCAGTGTTCTCTGGGTTTAATTCCCAGTATTGGAAAGGAGAGAAAAAAGGAAAGGAAAAGAAAGCAGTTACTGATTTTCTCTGAATAATCTTTCATACATCCATTTCCACAAAGCATACATGGAATCATTTTCTACTCCCAGTATTTTACATTCATGAAAAAATTAATTGACTAAAGAAACCTATTGAGATTTATACCTCAGATTTCTTGTGCAATGCCCTCTCATAATGCTGGGGTTCTGGAGGCCATCCGCAGATGAAATAGGAAAATAGGGAGCAGATGTTGTAATGAAATAAAAAGGAATAATGGGAAGGGCAAAAAGTGTGGTGACAGTATTACCAGGAGAAGCCTAGTGCTGCCACACAACATATACTGGCCCTGTGTGCAAAACCACATCTCATAGAAAGCCAGCCCAGGGTCACTGAAGGAGGTGGACAGTGACAGGTAAAGGATGTTGCTTTGGAATTCTAGTATGGGGAGTGCACAGTACTGGCTCATGCTGTCTCCCCTTTTCTAGGCAGATTTGCTCCTTAAAGCATATTGTTATTTCTGGAGTATCTGAGGTCAAATTTGTTGTTGGAAATGTTGAAACTATCTTCTCTAAAAAGCAACACAACCATACTCCTTGCTGCTTGCAGTTAGAACCATGCAATGTATCCATAGGCCAAAGGTATCAGGTCATTTACTGAAGTAGGATTAGAGAGGGATCGAGTGATTAGCAGACCTACAAGCATGGGCCAGTGGCTGTGGAACTGGGACTGCATAACCTGTCCTGTGCTGGCATCAAGGTGACTGTGGGGAGCTGCATGGCTGCCATTCATTCTGGGGCAACCCCAGATTTCTGCATTCTTAATTTTTCCAGAAGGAGTGCCTGGCATGGTGGCATATGTCTGTAATCCCAGCCCTTTCGAGGCTGAGGCAGGAGGATCACTGTGAGTTCAAGACCAGCCTGAATAACATAGTGAGACCCTGTCTCCAAAAAAATTAATTTTTCCAGAAGGAGAAAGAATAGGACAAAAGTTGATTAATGGTACGGTGCTGTCAAGTGTAGTGGCCCTCACCTGTAATACCAGTTACTTGAGGTAGGACAATTGCAAATTTGAGGCTGGCCTGGCTGGGCAACTTAACAAAACAAAACATAACAAAACTGGCTGGGATGTAGCTCAGAGGTTCAATCTTAAATACACAACACAACAACAAAAACATCGCTAATATATTATAGGTTACAAATATAGTTTCTGAGGACTATGCTATAAAATTTTAAGGTAAAAAATTAAAATAAATTTAAGATATTTGAATTTATGTTAAGAAAGTAGTTGATACTGTAAAGAACAATTTGTTTTATTTTGAGACAGGGTCTCACCATGTAGTCCAGACTGGTCTTGAACTCATGGTCTTCCTGTTTGGTCTCCTTAGTGCCAGGATTACAGGAACCCACCACCACACAGGCATATAGAGAACAATTTTAAAAGATGTTTTAAACTCCTGTGTACCTATCAGAGTTCCAACTCTGAGCAACATTGTGCATTTTAAAATTTGGGCAGCCAGCCGGAGATTTAGCTTAGTGGTTCTGTTGCCTGCCTCACAAGTGCAAGGTCCCGAGTTCAATCCCTGGTACCAAAAAATTAATTAATTAATTAATTAATTAATTGAAAAAATAAAATTCGGGCAGCCAGATAAAAACTAGGATATCCCTCTTGCTCTTTCCTATTGTGAAGGAAGAAAGCCACAAGTGAGCCATACAGACTCAGAGATCACAAACTTTTAAAGATGTTTATAGCAGCCCTGAAAAGCCAGAGACCTTGGCCTCTCTGGTGTGGAGAGTCAGGGAAAGTCAGAAAAAGTACTGCCCTTTCCACACTTGCCTTGGTGAAGGCTTGCTGAAATTAGAGACATCTGGAAAGTGGAAATCTGGATCCACTATCTTTTCAAAAAGATTCTCTGTCGTTAAATTGTCTTTGTCTTTGTGCCTAACTCTTGAGCACTTGGGCTGTGACAGCTCCTCACAGTGTGGTCCCTTGACAATTTGGTTCTCTCTCCAAGTAGCTCAAAGTTTCATCTCAGAAATTACAGACGTGTAATTGGGTAAGAGGCATTGGAGATTAACAAGTTGGCATCAAATCATAATAAAAAGGTGAGAACCAAGCAAGAGAATTACTTTAAAGTGCTATGTTGTTTTTGTCTTTCCAAGTTGTTTAAAATATCATGGGAAAAATGAAAAAATGTCTTTAAGCAATTATAACTTGAAATTCTGCAGCAATGAAAAGCTTTCCTAGTTGAAGGCCTTGATTATATTATATGGATGGTGTTTACACCTAGATTCCTAATTACAGAAAATAATCTATTAGCAAAGCTCAAAAAATGTGAATAATAAAAATTTGTTACTTTACATGTAACTCTCTATATCTTTCAAAATATGATTCACATTCTAACTTCCTGTTCAATACTTCCTACACTTTTGAAATCATACACATAGCATTTTGGGCTACAAAAATACTATGAGTTACCTCTGGAGAAAATGTTTTCATTTACCACTGTTTGGGAGAAAAGAAGATTCTGTTTCCTGAAGGTTCTGTAGCACCCCGAAAATTACCAGACTTGTAAATAGAGCCTGCTCTGGTCCACCCTGCGGCTGCCTCAGTGGTCCTCTCTTCCTCCCTCATCCCCAGGCCTCTCACTGGCATCTGCCCAGGGCTCCTCACTGGGTTTTTGCTATCCCCTGACTTTTGCTCCATGGTGTCATTAGTTCTTACCGTCCTTCCTGAGGCAGCAGCTCCTACTACACTTCTGGCCAGTGCTCTCAGAATAGTATTTCAAGAACTGGGCTCCCAACTTCTGAGACTCCTCCAGTTCAACAAGGAGACCTGGGAAACGTCGGATCCAGCAGTCTCTGTAAAATATGGTGGGTGAGCAGAGAGAGTCAGATGTCCAGCCCATGCTGAGAAGCAGGATCACATCTGCTGCAACAGCTGCCACCTGCATTGCACTGGTGTGAAGGCAAACTGGGAGACAGAAGCTGAAGCTGACCACCAGAGTTCAGGGTTTAGGGCAGTCTGGAGATCCAAGGGCTGTTGCTAAGGAAAAGCTTCCTTGGGGCTTTTCTAGAGAGTCCCTGGTAGAAAATTGAGGCCAGTCTTTGGCTGCATGCTGATTTCTCTTTTGTTTCTTTCTGACAGAGTCACCAGTGAGCCCTGGACTTGCCACAATTCTTTCTAGCTTGCCAGGGTATTTCACTATGGCCCTTGGGCCTCTTGAAGAGTAGATTCTGTCCTCTGTTTTTCTTCTTGCTCCAAAGGTGTAGAGTTGCAGACACCTTTCACTAAGGGAACATAAGGACAAGCTGAAATCTGAGTCAAGAGTCCTGAGCAGAACAGTAATTCAGTCCCTCGACAGTAGATAAAAGAAGAATCCATTTCAGTGGGAACAAGACTTTGCTTTGTGAGGACTTCTCTGTGGTTTTCAGGGAACTTGTGACTGCAGATTTTTTTTTTTCAGTCAGTTCTTTAATTCTTTGAACTTAAGTCCTGATGTTCAGGTTCACTAGAACATTGGTCCATGCACTGGTTTAAATTCTTTAAATTTGTCTTTAAAAAATCTTTGAAAGCCAATAAAAATGAAAATAAATTTAAAAATTTGAATTTAATTAGGTAATAACTGCAAACCATTAGATATTGATTCTGATCACTTTTTGAGGTCCAGTATTTTTGTAAAGTTCAGTCACAACTTTCTGTTTAAAAGTAGATTAAAGATTTGGAAAAAAATGTGTACAATGTAAATGGAATACAGTACTCACTAAAGTGTATATTACTTAGCCAAGAATAAGTATAGTTTACAGTGAACACTGTGAAGAGGTTTAAGAAAGGGATTGCCTGTTTTCTGATGTTCACATCTCCAAATTATCCAGAAGTCATATTTATGAAAGTGCATACAGAAAGTCACAATGTCTGTGAAACATGAGGAGTTGCTGTGGAAAGTGTCCTAGGGAAATGGTGAAATGGTTTTACATTTCTAAATAGTAATTATAATAGTAACTTCAGCCAGGGATTTAGCTCAGTGGTTCTGCAGCCTGTCTTGCAAGTGCAAGGACCCCAGTTCGATCCCCGGTACCCCGAAAAATAAAATAAAATAAAATAATAGTAAGTTCAGCTGCAGTGCAAAATATTTGAAAGGGCAGTGAAAATAGTCCCTTGATTTTATGGCCATTGTGAGTCCCTTATTTCATGATATCCAAGATAACAAATTAGTTTATGTATTTATTTATTTTATTATTATTTTTTTGTTCTTGTTTTGTTTTTTGAGACAGAGTTTCAGCACATAGTTCAGGCTGTCCTTGAACTTACTATGTAGCTCAGGCTGGCTCAAACATGGGGAAATCCTCCTGCCCCAGCTTCTTGAGTGCTGGGATTATAGGCATGCATCACCATGTCCAGCTAACAAATTAGTTTAAAGAATAAAATTGTTTGCTGTTTTGTATCTCTTTTTATATGAAGCATGACAGTGAACTTTGGGCATAAAGTCCTGCACTGGTTCTTTAAAAACAAAAATGAAAATTTTCTGAACCTTTGACCTGTGTTTATCTCATACCTTTTTGCATAAAGATTCATTTATGTATTTGGCCCCAAATGTTAATATTCTGTGCATTTTCATCTCCAGCAGTTTCCTAATTATAAGCATCCTACTTGTTACATATATATCATTTTTGTTTTGTTTTTTTTGGTACCGGGGATTGAACTCGGGTCCTTGTGCTTGCGCAGCAGGCGGCGAGACCACTGAGCTAAATCCCCAGCCCTACATATATATCATTTAATTTTTAGAAACATATAATAATATTTAAGACTGAATAAAATATATTTTATAAAATATAAAAATACATAAGACTAACTTTAAAAACCACTTACTTTCTTCCAAGCAAAAACTATTTCATGCACTAACACCTAACCTTGCACAAGCCACATAATGTACACTAAAATGTCAATAATCTTATTCTAATAACTTCTTATATACAAAGAAAGTTTTAGTTGCTTATCTGCAGTCAGATATTCCATCTGTCCGGAGGAGAGAGAGTTTACTTCCTGTTTTTTGTGAGATTCCGTGGCTATTTCCATTAGGAAATGCCTTCAGGACATCAACAGGAAAGTCCCCTTCTAACCTAGTAACCTGCAAGTCTTTCAGTCACAGTAAATGTAGTTTCTTTTGTGTGATACTTCATTCATTGAAATTCTCGTGTTCCCTGTGGGGATCAGAGAACCAATCCACAATTGTTTAGCCCCCTGTGCTGGAAAATGATAGTCAAATGAAGATCAAAATTTCATATTAAAGAATCTACAACTTCAAATGTAAAAGAAGTTTTAACTTTCTAAAAACACAAGCTGGGTATGGTGGTGCAATCTGTAATCTCAGCACAATGGGAGACTGAGGTAGGAGGACTGCAAGTTCCAGATTAGCCTAGACAATTTAGTGACATAGTGAGAGGCCTCCATTTCAAAATAAAAACTAAACTAAGGGCTGGGAATGTAGCTCAATGAGAAGGCCCTGGGTTCAATCCCCAGTACTGAGAACAAAAATAAGAAAACATTTGTTGGTGCTAATCATGTAAACATCAAGTGTAGAAATAAGTAGCTTCTTGGGTCCACATATTTTCCAAAGGAAGGGTAGAAATTGAGGTGCAGAGGCTGAGGGAGGGATCTACAACTAAATACATGGGCAGAACTTGTCCAGGTGAGATTGGTACTAGATGGAGTGTCCTGGATGATTCTTTCCAGGTTTCTGGTGTCCTGAACAAAGAACTGGGGAGGTGGGGCCAGCAAGTCCTGGCTGCTAGACAGGACAGGATACACTGAGGCTTGGGGTGTTAGCTCTGCAGTCACTGGAAATGCACGCTGTTCTCCCTCTCCTGACCCACTATCTTTGACGCTGGAGTGCTTCCCCAGAAGTCTACCCCATCCCCTGCCCATGGCAAATACAGTGGTGGACTCAGCAAAGGAGCTGCTATTTTTAGATACTTTTAAACATCTGAGAGCTGAGGCAAAATCGAGACTTAAAATGACTCAAGGACTTCTGGGAAGATGGTGGAGTGGTGAATAGCAGAGAAACAGCCTCTCCAAGATTTAGCATCCAGACACTGGAATATAACAATGTGAGGAAGAGAAGAAGGAAGGAATTGGTTTCCTGGGACTCATCAAGGATCTGAAGCAAGAGTTGAAGCTCATGGGGAGAGTGAGGAGAGAGACTTCAAAGAAGGAGAAGGAGGTAGCAAGCAGCACTTTCTCCTTGAACCCTGACTCATTGCATGGGAAGGGTCTGCTTGAATCTGCAGACATGTAGTGACTCCTGGCAACTCTAGAAGGCTCCATGGAGAAATGCACTAGTGGAATAGAGCAGTGGACACAGCAGACTCTGTGGCTGGTGAGTTATTCAGGGTCAGATGTACCCCAGGAGAAGGCAATTGGCTGGTAGCCATCTTGGAGAAGGGCCAATTGAGCTTGCAACTCAGAGCAGCTTCAGGCTGGCTCCATCAGGGTGAGGTGGAACCGAGTTCAAGTCAGCAGAAGGTCAAGGAGCCAAGTTCAAGCCAGCAGGAGACACATGGAGTGTTGCATGCTGAACAAAAAGGGTTCCAGCCTCATAGCCAGAAGCCAGCCAGAGCTTCAGAACAAAAGGTATACGCTTGGTGGGATTATGCACTACGCCACCATAAATCTATAGCTGGCTTGTTGGGATTAATCCACACAAATCTAGGCTATGTGTGCTCAATTTGTCAACCAGCAGCAGCAAAGACATTCCTTGAAGTGGACACCTTTTTTCCTTTTCTTGTTTTTGTTTTGTTTTGTTTTTTCTTGATTGTTTTGTTTTTTCTGTTGTTTATGTTCTGTTCTGTTCCTATTTTTCTTTCATCCTTCTCTCTTTCCCTATTGTCTTCTTCAGTTCCCCAAAGTTGGTGTAATCTTTCTTTGCCCTCCAGCCTTGCTTCTAATCTCTTCCTCTTCTATTTCCCTATTTCCCCCACTAATCCCATTTAAATTTTCTTCACAAGGGTAAAATCACCATTCTGTGGGCATATTTACTGTATACACCTTTCTGGTTAGTTTTAGATTTTGTTATATAATGACAAATATAGTTCATACAATTTAGGGCTGTGGATTTAACTCAGTGGAACCATGTTTGCCTCACAAGCACAAGGTCCTGAATTTGATCCCTGGCATTAAAAAAAAAGTTCATACAGTTTAATGAGGCAAGACAATAGTTCCCACAATTTGTCATTTTCTAGGCTATGTTTGATGTGATTGTTATTTTTGATTGTACTACTTTCCCCAAGGTGACATAATTGTTATAATCAGTTGCTTTTCTTGGTATTCCAAGATGGAGATTGCCTAAGGGTCATAGGCCAGGACCAAAGAACCAGGGGTGAGGCCAAATAGGCAGCAACTTCTCATCCCCAATAAATTGAAGAAGTAGGATCTTGCAAAAGACTCAAAACTCAAAAGCCAGCTACACCTACAAGACATCTCTGGGAAGTAGTCATTTCCTAAGGGTTCTATGTACTAGCAATAAAGCTACTTTCCATATACAATTTACAAGCATTAAACAAGGAATTAAAAAAAAAAAGGAAAATGAGAAGACACTAAAACAAGACGCAACCCCAAACTTCCAGCTCATGAAAGGCAAACCCAGGGAGTAATGAGGTGGAACAATTTGAAAGACTGGACTCTGAAGTGGTAACAGTAGAAGTAACAAAGCAGATGAATGAGGCTTTAGAAAAATAATCAAACCAGAAATAGTTTCTCAGATAACTACAAAGATGATAACCATAATGAAAGACATAATACATGACTCTAGAGCAGATACAGATTTAAAAAATAGAAGACCTTAGGAAAATAATGGAAACTATATAGGAAAGAAATGGAATCCATGAAACAGATTCAAACAGATATTCAAGAGGTTAAAAATATCATTGAAAATATAATGCAGCAGAATGAGCCAACGTAAGGACAGTATCAGATATAGAAGATAGGATTGCCCTTAGTGATCATGAAAAGAAAAATCTCTTGAAAATAACAAAGACTATCAAGGAAAAATCAATCCAACACCAGCTAGGTGATGCAAAGAATAACATAAGATTGATTGGAGGGGCAGGGATTTATTAGCTCAGTGGTTTTGCTGCCTGCTGTGCAAGCACAAGGATC